ACTGAAAATAAACCTTGATTCTGCAAATGGAATTACTTTAATTGCGAATTGTGTTCACACACAAGCGAGAAAAGCCCGTAAATGTACTAGAAACGAGGTTCTTGCACATGCACAGATAGAGGAATGCTCTCTGGAACCATGGGAAAAGCAGGGAAATGCTCCCAAATGGGCATTTGGTTATCACATTACGGTAAATGTGAAATTACCTTAATTGCACATTTGCATTTCCTCCAAACAACCGAATTTCAAAAGATCTCCGTTAACACCAGTTTCTGTCCACTTTCTGTCCAATTTATGTGTGACGTCATGTGAAAACATGGGGCACTAATCCAGTTTCTGTTTGGGTTTTGTGTGGATTAACCAGCAGATTTGCCCCCGTGTGATAACGTCCCTAGTCCAACCCCACAATGCCATGTCATGTGCCTTTAAGTCATTTCAATTAATGGCAACCTGACCACTGGGTTTTCTTGGCCAGATTTCTTCAAAGAAAGTTCACTGTTGCTTTCCTTTGAGGCAGAAAGCATGTGACTTCCCCAAAGTCACCCAGTGGGTTTTCAGGGCCAAGCAGAGATTCAGATACTGGTCTCCCAGAGTCCTAGTCCAACACCCAAACTACCATACCATGCTCCCTTCAATATGGCAAACCTGTCACAGGATTCTCTTGGAAAGATTTGTTCAGAGGATGTTTGCTTTTGCCTTCCTCGGAGGCTGAGAGAGTGAGTCCTGTCCAAGGTGACCCAGTGGGTTTCCATGTCCGTTTGGGGATTTGAACCTGGTCCCCCAGAGTCCTAATCCAGCATACTAACCACTACACCATGCTGGCTTTCGTGGTACAAGTACAGATCCCAGCCCTGTTTTAGACTTCCTCCAGTTACTTCCTGTTTTATTTTCTGCATTTTTTTAAAAAAATGAGATGACTTTCAGGGGAAGAAATGGGTCTCTTGGCCCCAGAGCTTGATGATCTGCATTTTATCACCTTTTGCCTCTTGTTATCCAGCACTGGAGACTCAGGATGTAAAAACCCAGTGAGCTTATATGGCATTTTCCTAATTATTGCTTCCTTAGGACAGATGGCTAGCTTTATACAAACTGGCAAAATATACACCTGAGTGTGGCAGGAAGAACTTTGGAGATGATAATATTTTCATGTGATAACTGATGTACTCTGTGATGATGCTGAGGTCCTTCAATGCAGTAGGACTGCAGCTGGGACAAGCAGAATGTTAGCAAAACTTTCAATGGAACCATAAAGAAGCATTTGTTTCCATGGTATATTTTAAGCATTTTCATTATTTCTTTCTTTGCTTCAAAGCTTCTGGCTGCTCAGTAACAGCTGTGTGTCTGGAAAATGTGGCTTCATACAGTTCTTGGTGGAATCCTTTTCAAGTAATTATGTAGTAGACAGTGCCTAAGTGTACACAGCCCATTTACATTGACTTCACAACTTTTGTCCCTGACATGATGTCAAGCTACTAGAACATGTGAATTTATTTCTTTGGAAGTCTTTAAACAATGATTGGGTAGGGATCTTCAGGAGTGCTTTAGTAGTGTATTCTAGCATGGCAGAGGGTTGGATTAAATGGCCCTTATGGTCCCTTCTAACTCTAAGATTCTATGAATCTTTGGTTGAATTTACTGGTCACACTAGACATCCCACAAGTAGGTTTGAAAAACCCCAATCCACACACATATTCATAGACTCATAGAGTTCAAAGTGCTTCCAAGGGACATCCATGTAGATAAAGAACTACTGAGAGATAGCCATCTAACATTTGTTTAAAGACTGTGAATGAAGGACTGTCCATCACCCTCTGGGACAATCTTTTCCACTATCAAATAGTGCTTATCATCAGGAATGCCTTCCTCATGTTCCAGTGGAACCTCTTTTCTTTCAATTTGAAGCTATTGGTTTATGTTCTAGTCTCTGGAGCTACATCAAAAAGTTCACACCATTTTCTACATGACATCCATTCAGATAATTAAAGATGGCTACCATGTCAGTTCTCTTCTCCAAGCTAAACATATACATTTCCCTAAGCCAGTGATGGCTAACGTTTTAGGGCTGAGTGCCCAAACTAAAAGGCCTTCTGGCACCAAGTGTTACCTGGTGCCAGGGGCGGGACTTCCACCCTCCAGGGGCAGGACTTCTCCCCTCTGGGGGTTGGACTTCTGGGATGAGACTTCTTCCCCCCACCCTCCTGGGCCTTCGGCTGCCTCTCCAGAGACAGCTAAAGACCCGGGGGGGGGGTGAGGGGAGAAGAAGAGGAACAGATGCACACCTCTTCCTCCTCCTTCCCCTGTACCATCTTCCTTTTCCTCTGGAGAGGCAGCTGAAGGTCGGGCATGTTCAGGAAGAAGGAGGAACAGGCACACACCTCTTCGTCCTCTTCCCTGCCCTCTGCATGCCAGAGAAAATGGCTTCACATGCCATCTCTGGCACGTGTGCCATAGGTTTTCCATCACAGCCCTAATCCATTCCTCATAGGGCTTGGTTCACATCCATGTGAATCATCATAGAACATATGTGACAGTGAGAAGACTGCATGGGCTTGACATACTCCTTCCACTTTGGTATGTAGATTGGCTATGCTGCTGAGTGACCATGCATTTGACACTAATATGATGGCACTGTAGCACTTGGTGTTCATAGGGAAATGCACCCAATCAAGGATCCTGCTGCCCTAGTCCTTGTATCAGTATGTTCATCATTACTTTGCACAATAGTGGTGAAAATGTGACCCCAGTGGAGGTACTAGATGGGCTTTAAAGAAGAGGAACAAGGGTAGGACTCACCTGCAGCTGATGGGGCAGAGGACTTGGAGCATGGAGTGAAGACCAGAACAACAACATACAATCAGGCTCTTTGCCAAGCAGCACTGGAGAGGCTTCAATTAAAACCAGCTGGTGGTGACCCATTTAACAGCTGAGTCTGTCTTGGGCTAGTGCTGGAGGTAACTCCTGCTTCATGGCCAGTATTCCTGTTTCCAGATTTGTTCAATTTGGACCTTCTACTTCTTGGCTTCTTTGATCCTTGGACTGTTTTGGCTTTGCTGCTTGTTTGTTTCCCTGAACTGGACCGCTTCACAAACTACTCCCACAGGCAAGGACACTGGGTGCTGGTGATTTATTGTCCTTGCTTGCGCTATCAGTTAATTATTTCTTCCCAGCCAGCCTGTGCATGTTTTAGCTGAATCAGGACAACCAGCAGTATTCACGGCAGTTTGGGGGAAGAGCCTTCCTCTCATCCTACTAGTGAGAAGCTGGACAGGGTTGTTTTCTTTTGTGAGTACTCCTCTTCTATTTCCTGTGACATCTTCAGAATCCAGAGATACAGGAGGAATCTTGATGGCAATCTTTAAAGTGTAGCATTCTGCATTGCTCTGAATTTCCCTCTCATATTATTTCATGTCATTATATATTTCCCCTTCAGATTATTCATAGTCTATTTTCATGGGACATTCCACTTCATCCTGTGGTGAACCCCATGAGTGACTTACATTATTGACCCAACAGCTGCTTTTTGCCTAACAGTTTTGAAGATGGTGGACACATTCTATCCCACCCTACCATCTCCTTGCTGACTTCTTCACCAGATGGATGAGACACTCATCCTTACAGTAATCCTGCATATATATGTATTGTGCTTTGCCAGTACATGCCGATGAAACAACTTTACCAAGATAAATCTTTTGGAGTACAACTGCCAGCATCTTTAAGCATTCAGCAGTCAAGAAGTCAGTCAACAGTCAGGCTTTTGTGCCTTTTATTTTCTCAAATGTGTCCATGCAATCAGTGTTGGTTTGGGGATCTTGGGAGTTGTAGGCTAATAAACTATTTTGTCCAGCTTGGGGATCTTGGGAGATGTTGTTCAAAAAATAACTTTGTGAAATTAGCTATTTTTGAACTACAGCTATCATCATCACTGACCTTAGCCAGCTCCCTTAGATGTACATAAGATGCACAATGTAAACGTCTTCCCTTTGGGTGGCTGCAACTATTGTGTGGTAATGTATTGCTGAATGCTATGACATTTGCCTTGTTGCATGACAAACCTCACCTGCTGAATTTTTCCCTTCTACTGCAGAAGCTGTCTCTAGTTTTCACTCTGTCAACCATAATTATATGATGATGTCAATACAAAACAATACTGAAACATCATGCTCTCTTCAACAGCTGAAATCTCTCAGTCTCATAATGCCATGTTGGCTGGTTCCTGTTAGAAGACTGGAAAACAATCTGATGAAAGGCAGAGGAGTTTGAAAAGATAGGAGGAGATTTTACTAATACTCTGCTGCCAGAGAAGTGACAGCTGCAATGGTATGGCCATGTGGAAGCAAACTCATGTGGACTTTGAAAACATACTGGGAAAAGACAAGATAACAATGAGCTAACACTATAATATAATATAATATAATATAATATAATATAATATAATATAATATAATATAATATAATATAATATGAGATTTAAAAAACAACTATAATCTTTCAAGAGCATGCAAAATCTATACCAGTATCCATTGTAGGTTCTGAATATATTTTAGATTAAATTTAGAATTGTCCCTGGACATACACTCATTTCATATTTTTCATTCCACTTTACAACCACAAACTGATCTGTTTTCAACTGTTGTCCTTACCAGTTATTATACCTTTCCAGAAACGGTATTGTGTACTCAATGAATGGTGGCCTGTGGGTCTTGTAATAATATATGTAATGAAGGGAAACCAAGTTTCTAAGCATGATAATCCCTTTAATCAATCAGTTATATGAAAACAGATCATTGTAAAGCAGACTTATCTGCCATTTGACAAAATTATGCTTTTACATCTACTGTGCAGTCAAGACACTCCTACTCAATGACTTGGAATCATACTGTATGATTGACAGCTACGTAGTGTTAAATCATTGCTTGTTATTTATGGTGATTATGTGGTATCTTTTATTTCACTGTATTACGTCTGCAATGATGTACATTTTCTATTTAAAGATAATATTTATTTATCACGCCAGGAGCAGCCCATGTCTGGAAAGGTTTATATCGGTAAAGCAAACATGGAGCACCAGCAAACAGTGTAAGTGAAATGCTGTGTTTACGTTGGGTATTGAATTTTTAATTTCATTTCCCCATTTTCGCAAGGGGAAAAACCAATATAGGATTTACAGTAAAGGGAGATGGGAAATCCAGAATACTTTGTGCTATATATAACACCTATTAATAATACTCACATACCTCTTCTATGGTTTTGGAAATGACAGGTCTGGTGTTGATAACAACAGAGGGTTGAGAAATGTCCCTCACACAACATTTAAAGCAGATAAAGTCTGCTCATCTCCAAGGCCATTTTGAGACCCCCAGGACTCCCTAATTTTTTTTAGGAATCCCTCCATCCTCCTTTTTTATTATTATAAATAATGATCTCCCACACTCCCTATGGGCCATGGGGGACAATTTGTCTGTGTTGCTCAGGCTCAGGAGAAGCCTTTTTTTTAATAGAATGCAAAAACCTGATGTCTTGTTTGAAAAAATGCCTCCCCAACAGTTGTCCATCATGATGGATGGGATGGACAAAATGCAGCCTTGGGTTGCATGCGTGCTAGAGGTTGTTTTTGTGGCCCCAGGATTCCCAAGGAAGTCACTTTCTTTTGCTCCAAAATTCCCCAAATGACCTCTTTTTGTCTCCCAAGGATGAAAGAAATGCTTTTCTTTCTTTCTTTTTTTTACATTTGTTGCCTCCAAATGACCTTTTGGGAACATGGGAAGCATTTCCACCATCTTTTTGGGTGTGTGTGTGTGTGTGTATGTGTCTGTGCCAATTTAG